TCCCCCACCATGAGAGATGTCCCCGCCCCCTGTATTCCCGGGATCCCACCCAGGAGGATCTCACCGTCCCCCACCATGAGAGATGTCCCCGCCCCCTGTATTCCCGGGATCCCACCCAGGAGGATCTCACCCTCCCCCACCATGATCAGGTAGGTGGGACGGAACTTCTAGAACATGAAAGAGACTCAGTATGTGGTCTTGTATTATGAAACCTCATATACTCCACCCATGTTCTGTTGGTTTAGGGTGAAGATCTGATAGATATAAAAGTTGATGTGAAAGCAGAAGAGGAGGAGACTTATGTGAGGGGCGATCAGTCCGTGAAAGAGGGTGAAATGATGGTGCCGGTTAAAGAAGAGGAATCTACAGATGGATCCAGTAAGAGGAACCCGCCAGAGAGATGTCCCCGCCCCCTGTATTCCCGGGACCCCACCCAGGAAGATCTCACCCTCCCCCACCAGGATCAGGTAGCTGATGGACAATCTCTGGTGGTATCTCTGGGATCTGGACATCATCTACAATTGTTACAATTTCTCATTTTTATTCTATATTTAGAGTGTAGTTCTGAGTGATTCAAACGTTGACCTTAAAGAAGAGATAAAAGAGGAGATTGATGAGGACGGAGTGAAGGAGGAGTCAGAGTTTCCTAAGGGACACAAAGATCTCTACCAGGAGAACACAGAGGAGTCATCCATCTACAAGAACCCACCAGATAGATGTCCCCGCCCCCTGTATTCCCGGGACTCCACCCAGGAAGATCTCACCCTCCCCCACCATGAGAGATGTCCCGGCCCCCTGTATTCCCGGGATCCCACCCAGGAAGGTCTCACCATCCCCCACCATGATCAGGTATGTAAGGTGGAACGTCTACAACATGAAAACGACTCAACACTCTGATATGTGGAGACGATGAGGCCGATGTAAGAGAAAAGAAAACCCCCAAAAGTGGGGATAAAACACAAAACTGTGACTGGATTGCGTGTCCTCGTGTGAGCGACCATCCAAGAAGTATCTAGCTGATGTTCAGTGTGTACGTAGAGGTCCCATGTGGCCACGCTGGTAGAACATCTATAGATAGTGTTCCTATATATACTTCTTACTCTCGTGGCATCAGTGGCCAATCCTCCTCTGATCTGTGTCAGTGACTGAGGTCCGAGGTGTGGACTCCACAAGACATCTTCTAGGTGGTCTCACTCCATCAGAACGTCTACAGATGATGTTCTCCACCATTCAGGTATCAGGTCGGTGGGACGGAGAATCTAGAACATGGAAGAGACTTGTGGAGACAACGTGGGGATCCTACAAGATGATATTTTCTTTCATTTTCCTGGTTTAGGGTGAAGATCTGATGAAGATGAAAGTTGAGGGTGAAGTAGAAGAGACGTATGTGAGGGATGATCAGCGATATACGGAGGAGGAGGCCGGGATGATGAGGACGTCCATAGAGGAGGACACGCCTACAGAGATCAGCACAGGTGGGCCATAAACACGAAATACATTCCTCTGCTCATACTGCTCACTGATTGGTCCAGAGTAGGGGGCGGGGACTGAGTGAGATCGGCCTGTAATAAGCTGGTATTGGTCACTTTTCTGACCTGTGTTCCCCGTCCGGCACATTAGATCTCTCTCTCGGATTTTCCTCCCTCTTGGTCCTGTCGATACAATGTATACATGTGGACGGGGTTCATGTAGATTTTGGGGGGCAGCGGGCAGGAAGTTGTCGGTTTTCACTCTTCGGTGGAGTAGCACGGATACGATAAATCAGATTCCACCATTATTGGGTTCTTCAAGCTCCTCAAGGTTCTCCTACAGCCAGGTCTCTACACAATGGTGGACAGAAGGACTCCTCTACTGAGAGACAGAGACGAGACCTTCCACGGCTGGACGTCCTGACTGGCTGTTGTCTCCTCAGATTTTGGAACCTTCAGCAGAAGATGATAATGGGGGGCGAGTCTGGATCTCAGTGATGGTGGTCTTCAGGGTCAGCCTCCCTCATCTTCACTCTGTGACCTCTGGTGGTGCTCAGCTCTTTCTTTATGACTTTGATGGGGAAAGATGTTACTTGTAGTGTCATAATGGTAATGAATGATGGAGGGGGAGGGGAGGCTCCTCCCACAATACCAGCACCTCGATAATGTAGAGTTCTCATTGGTTCTCTGTCTGAGTCTATGAATGTAGAAGTGAAGGGTCTGAGGTCAGAAGGAACCATCTACCAGATATGATGCTCTTCTGGAAAGCTGACTGCTGTGGGCGCAGTCTGGGTGAGGTGAACCAACCCGCTCGTGTCCTCCAATAATCTCTTTCTATTTGTAGTCCACGGACGGGACGTCGGGAAGATCTCAGAGGAACGTCTCACGTTGTCTACAGAAGATGAGGACATCACGCAGTATAGTCCAGGAGAAGACCATAATGTCCATCAGGGGCCCCACAGTGGGGACGGACCCTCGTATTCCTCCAATCCTGAGGAACCCCAGACCGCGAGTGATGGGGCCGACCTTCCAACAGATAAGAGGTTCTCCTGTCCTGAGTGTGGGAAAGGTTTTCGGTTTAAATCCAGCGTTTGTGTACATTTAAAAAATAACACGTGTTACCGGCCGTATTCCTGTCCCGAGTGCGGTAAATGTTTTCCACAGAAATCTCAACTTGTCAGCCATCACAGATCTCACACGGGAGAGAAGCCATTTTCTTGCCCTGAGTGCGGGAAATGTTACCTACGGAAGTCAGACCTTGTCATACATCAGAGATCTCACACAGGAGAGAAGCCGTATTCCTGCCTAGAGTGTGGGAAATGTTTTGCACGTAAACGACTCCTTGATGCACATCGGAGATCTCACACGGGGGAGCAGCCGTTCACCTGTCCCGTGTGTGGGAAAATTTTTTCCAGAAAGTCCCATCTTACTCTACATCAAACAAGCCACACTGGACAAAAGCCGTATCCCTGCCAGGAATGTGATAAAAGCTATCTGCAGAGATCAGACCTTATTGTACATCAAAGATCTCACACAGGAGAGAAGCCGTACGCCTGCCGGGAGTGCGGGAAGTGTTTTGTACGTAAATCACATCTTGATGCGCATCTGAGGTGTCACACGGGGGAGAAACCGTACTGCTGCCTTGTGTGCGGGAAGTGTTTCTCACAGAAGTCCCATCTTAACACGCATCAGAAATCGTGCAAGTCTTGTCTCGCCAAAGATCAGAGAACCCACGCGACCCTTTAGGAGTAGTAGTGTTTCCTGAGTGCGGGAAATGTCTTCTATATAAATCATCAGAGGTCTGACGCCGGGAAGAAGCTCAGAAAACACGTGGCCGAGCTCTGCTGCGATCTTTATCAGGAAATCAGCGTTGACGAAAGACTTTACAGTTGTATCTGGCTTCCTTTCCTCGCACGCCCCGGTGCTTCTTCCACCTGACCGCTATGATCGGTGACAGCCCCCCTCCCCCGATATGAACAAAGCCTGCAAGCCGTGTTTTCAGGAATCATTGATGGTTACATTGTATTTACACTTCAGATCCGAGGACTTCGCTGTGTCCCTTCATTTCATATGCGGGGGGAGGGGGAAAGGTTTTATTTTTTATTAACGATTGCCCCTCCTTAACCCTTTACTGACACTAACTCCTCCTTCCCCATTATATATAGTCAATGTTTTTTTTAATAATACATCACTTTTTTTGACGAGGACTAGATGTTTTATTCAGGAGATATTCTCCACCTCAGACACTATGTCCTGGAACCCCCATCCCCCGACACCCACCAGAGCTTACCCTCATCAGTTCATATTGGAAGCAGCACCACTTCAGGATCGGTATGACAATTCGGCAGCAGGAAGAAGCGCTAGCA